TGACCCAGGTTGATTTGTTTGTGTTGATGTTGTGTTGAAAGCTTGTATTTGATATGTTTGTTTTAATGAGTTTTTTATTTCTGATTTGGATGTGTGGAAGTTGAGATTTGGTGATATATGGGATGTGGCGAGTTTGGCTGCGGTGTCTGCGGTGTCGTTTCCTGTGATGTTTTAGTGGCAGGGTATCCATGTGAATGTGATATTTTTGTTTGAGCGTGTGAGTGAGTCTGTTTGGATTACTATATTGTGTATGAGGTCTGGGCGCGATTTAGAGTGCATGTTGTGAAGTTGTTTGATAGAATTGAGTGAATCAGTTAGGATGAGGAAGTTTGTTTGGGGAAGGGAGGGTATTAGGTGTAGTGCAGTGAGAATAGCAGTGAGTTCAGCAGTGTTTATTGTGGTGTAGTTGGTATAGTGGAAATTAGTTGTGATGGGAGGGGTTTGTTGAACATGTATGCCTAGGCCTGTGGTTTTGTTTGTGTTGATTGATGCATCTAGTGTGGGTGGGGTAGTTTGTATTTATGTAGTTGTTTGTGATATTAGTTATGGTGGTTTGATTGGTGTCTTTAGGTAGTTGTTTGAGGATTGTGTCAAGGGACATGTCTGTGATGGGTGGGGGTTTGTCGTGAATGTAGCTTGTAATGGGAGGTGTGTGTTGTATGGTGTTTAGCTGTTGTGCATGTAGCAGACTGTATAAGTGAGTAAGGCATGATGCTTTAAATGGGTTTGATTTGAACTTTTTAAGTGTAGATTTCTTAATGTTTTTATATTTGTTTGTGATTAATTTAAATATGGGATTGTGTTGGGCCCCAGCCCAGTAAGTGAGTGTGGTTTGGTTTATTCTTTGTGTGATTGAAGAGGTGCCTGTGAGTAGAAGTAATGTGTTAAGAGAGGTACCACTCCTCGTGCCGAGAGCTAATTTAAGCGCTTTAAATTGAATGGAATTAAGTTTTAGAAGATTATGGGAGGAGAGGTTGTGGAGAATCGGGGCGGCGTAGTCCAATCTCGATAATATGAGAGTTTTATATATGTTAATGAGGGTATGTTTGTCGGCACCCCAGTTTGTGCCGCTGATGGCTCGCATTAAGTTTAGATCTTTTTGACATGAATTGACCAAGTTATTAATGTGGGGTGTCCATGTCAGATCGCGGTCGAAAGTTTGTCCTAGAAATTTGGCTTCTTTTTTTAGTTCAATTTCTTGGTTATTTAGGTGTAGTTTGGGGGTATAATTTTGCATATGCTGTGTTTTGAATAATATGCCCACTGTTTTTTTAACGTTGATGTGAAACCCCATTTTGGGCCCAGTTTTGAATGGAATTTAGCATTTTTTAAATTTTGAGTGATGCCTGTTTAACTGAGGTGGAGGAGGTCCAAAATGAAATATCATCTGCAAATTTGGCAGTTGTGATTTCTGGCCATTTATCTGGAAAAATGTCATTAATCATGAAGTTGAATAAAGTTGGGGATAATATGCTCCCCTGGGGGGTTCCATTTTCTAAGGGTATGGGTCCGAGATGGTGTTGTGAGATTTGATTGTTATTTGTCTGTCGTTTAGGAAAGAGTGATTGAAATTTAGAATTCGACCGTGAATGGCATGTTTTTGAAGTTTTTGTAGTAGGCCGTTGTGCCAAACCATGTCGAATGCCTTACTGAAATCAATAAAAATGGCCATAGTGTATTGTTTCTGTGCTTGTGCTACTTTGATATCTTGTTCTAAATGTAAAATGTTTTCCAAAGTTTGTCGATTTGGAGTAAAGCCGCTCTGGTCCTCCTTAAGTAGGTTGTTGGTTAGAATAAGGTGTTTGAGCCTGTTGTTTACAATTGTTTCTAGGGTTTTACAGAGGTGGGAGGTAAGAGAGATGGGACGGTATGAATCAGGCTCGTTATTGGGTTTCCCTGGTTTGAGGATTGGTACCACTCTGGCTGTTTTCCAAGTGATGGGGATAGTTCCTGTGGTCCAAATATGGTTAAAGAGGGTAAGTGTGAGGTTATGCATGTTGGGAGGTAGTTTATTTAGTATTGTGTATGTAATGGTATCTGGACCTGGGGCTGAGGCTGATTGTTTGTTTTTGAGTGCAGATTTGAGTTCATGTATGTTGATAATTTTATTTATGGGTTGGTCTGTGTGAGGAGGTTGTGGGGTGTAGGGGTGGTGGTTTTTAATAGTGTTTTGGAAGGTGGATGGGTAGTTGGTGGAGCTGCTTGTAGCCGAGAAGTGGGCAGCAAATGCATTTGCTTTATCTTTGTTTGTGGTTAGGTCTGGAAAGTTGGGTGAAATGTTTTTTTTAGAAATGCCCTTTATGGCTTTAAATTTATTCCACATAGTCCTGGGATTTCGATGAGATTGCCTGAGGGTAGAACAGAATTTCCTCCAATGGGTGATTTTTGCTGCCTTGGTAATTTGTTTAGTTTTGTTACGTAGTTGTTTAGCTAAATGTAATTTTGAACGGTCCCTTTTTGATTGATTTAGGGCCTTTTTTCTAGCCTTTCTGGCATTTATAATTTCATGGCTCCACCACGGGACTGTTTTTTGTGCGGGGTTAAACCGAAAAGTGGGAATGCATTTGTCTGTGATATTTAGGATTGTGTTTGTAATATTAATGTTAAATGTGTTTATGTCGGGGCTGTAGATGGATGAGGTGTTTACTTGCTTGCATAGTGCTGTGAATTTTTTCCAGTCTGCTTTATTAATGTTGTATCTGGTTTCTGTGGGTGTGGGTGGGGGAGTGGCGGTTGGTGAGGTGGGGATGTGCGAAGTTATAGTGATTTTGATGGGGCAGTGGTCGCTGCCCCAGGTGTCGTTGTGTACCTCCCAGATACAAGCTTGTGTTAGTTTGGGGGTGGTGAATGTGATGTCTATGGCTGTGGGTGAGTGGAGGTGGGAGAGGGGGTAACGGGTGGGTTGGTTGTCATTTAGTGAAGTGAGATTGTGTTGGCCTAGCCAGTCGGCGAGGCGGGTTCCATTAATGTATGTGTAGGGTCTTGTGCCCGACAGTGGGTGATGTGCGTTAAAGTCTCAGAGTAAAATGGTATTGGGGGCTATGAATGTAGAGAGCATTGCCAAATCTTGGGGAGTGATTTTGATATTAGGACTTCTGTAAACATTAATAATTGTGATTTCTTTGTTGTTTAGTTTAGTGTTGATAGGGTTGGATTTGCGAGTGGGGGGAGGGTGTGGGGGTTTGGGTTGGGGGAGGGTGAATAGAATGACGAGTTAGGAGAGGAGGAGGTGTAGGGGGAGGATGATGAGGCTGAGAGGATGGAGTTGTATGAGAGTATTGGGCGTGCTGGTTTGGGCAGGTCGGTGTTTTTAATGTGTTTGTTGAGCCTGAGTATGTGTTTTGTGTAGCAGTGTGGCCGGGTGTGTTGCAGTGAATGCAGTATTTTTGTTGTAGACATTCATCAAGTGTGTGTGTGTCCGACCCGCATTTTGGGCAAAGCATTGGGAGTTTGCATGAATCCGATATATGTGAGAATGAGAAACAGTATTTGCATTGTTGTGGGTTTTTGCGGGTTGGGTGTACTTTGTAGGTGAGGGCGCCGAATGTAATGTGAGTGGGGAGAGTAGTGGTGTCGAATGTAAGGAAGGTTGTTTGTGTGTTAGGATTATAGGTGGTGGGTTGTCTGTTGTTGATTGCTCTGAAGTTGGTGATTTTTGGTTGGTTTGGGATGGTGTTTGCGAAGTCAATGTAGTGTTTGATGTCTCTTTCAGTTTCCCTTGTGTCTTTGTAGATGACTCCATGTATTGATGTTTGCCAGCGTGGGTATTGCCAGTTTATTTGCTTTCCGTCTATAAGTGTGTGTTTTAGTGTGTTGTTTAGTGCTTGTTTGTCCGTGAATGTGATTTTAAAGCCTCGGCCACAATTGTTTATGTATCTGTATTGTATGTTGTGTTTTTTTAGGCAAAGGGCGAATTTGTTGATGGAGTATGTGTGATTGAGCGGAGTGTGTGTGTTGGTGGCAAAGGCTAGTAGTATGAGCTAATTTTCTTGGGCTTTGGGTGGGGTGGCTTTGTCGCATTGTTTTTGGTTTGATTGTGAGCTTTCAGAGGGAGAGATGTGCGGGCGTTTAGTGGATTTAGTTGTGTTGCATGGGGGTTGTGACGCTGGGGGTGGTGGTTTTGATGTTTGTAGAGATGGGAGTAGGGAATCAATGTCGATTCCGAAGTTTATGGGGATGGGGTCTATTTGAAGTGGGGAGGTAAGGGGTGGGAACTCTTTTGTTGGAGTGGAGAATAGTGAGGCCGGGAGGGGTGGGGAGGCCATAGTGTAGTGTAGAGGGTTGGGGAGGGGGGTGCGATTTGGTGGGGCCAGGGGTGTGGGCTGGGGAAGAGTACACAATATACAAATGAAAATACAAACAAATTTACAGAAGAAAGCATATATACAAATGAGAAGAAAGAAAAAGGTTTGATTTGGTAGCAAGCTACAGTTCAAATGTCTATGACAGCCAAAGTTACACAGGTAACACTTGCGTGTTTCCTGGCCCTGGGGGGCCACGGTGCGGCGACCGATAGGATGTGGTGTTTTCTTCTCAGTCAGCTGTGATCAGTAGAGAGGAGGAGGTTAGAGGGGGCGAAGCCAGCTTTGTGGTTTTGATTTTAGACAGCGATCGGTGCGGGGCGTTGAACGTGACCAGCTCCAAGCGCAGAAAATGTCCGAATGAATGGACTTCATAACCGATCATATGTATCATTATATAGTGAGGGTGATGGTAAAGAGTGTTCACTAAATTTATTTAAAAATCAGCAACAACAACAAGTCAATAACCTCAGTTCATGAACGGTGAACACCGTTCACCTGGATGAGACTAATTAGTGTCACCCACCAGGACCAAATTTCACGGTGAGCAGTGTAATCACTAACCCGTGTACACTAATCCTCTTGAATCCCTTATCATAACTTTAGGGTGGTGGGTAAGTGAGAATGACCGATAAATTCATTAACTGACCATCAAGTGAATGATGACAAATAACATGTTATCATAACATGCGTATGTAGCCGTGTTTGTGCGGTTCGGCTCTGGGCTGCTGCTCAAGACGACACAAGGCAATGGTGATGAAATGAATTTTATTATATGAAGAATGAAGCTGTTGCTGAGGTCAAACCTGAGAAGGGAAAGAATGTTTCCAGCTCAGCAGCAGCAAGTGGAGTCATAAAAATTAAACTCAAGTAAAAATAATTTTAACAAATTTTAACAATAAATATTAAATAGTTTTAAATATCAAAGTAAATATATTATCAATTCAACTACCAGGACAAGGTTATTGCACTTTTGAACAAAAATGAAAGCACATGGTTTCAGCCATGTTTATAATTTACATTAATTGTAAAGTAATATATTTAACTAAATTTATATAATTATCAATTAAATATTACTTTTAATGTTATAATATTATTATTGCAATAACATTTTACACCTTTTTTATAGGAATTTATAAAGTAAAGAGGCAGATGGAAACAGATTAGAAAAATGGCCATACCTGAGAAGGGAAAGAATGTTTCCAGCTCAGCAACAGCAAGTGGAGTGAGGTGGAAAACAGGTGGCCAAAGGATGTAAGGTCAGAGGACACAATAGCCAATTAGAAAGTAGGTAGCACATAGAAGGAAGTTTTTGATGTGACCTGTTAATAGAAAAGGGAAAATCCCAAAGAATGGGTTACCTGGCTAAGAATAGAGAAGAAGTGAAGGGAAATCCTTGTTGACAAGGGTACATGAAACAGAAGGAAAAGGTGAAGATGTACAGAGGCGGCATTCAACGGCAAGACTCGGACAACATGGAACAAATGAACATTTAACATTTGATGATATTTATGAAACATGATGAAATGAATTAAGATGTGATTTAGCACTAAACTAAAAGCACTGCTACACGTAGGTTTACCACCAAACACGGGTTACAGCAAGAGAGTAGTAATTGCTGTATTGCATGCAAGTTTGATTGTCTGAAAAAAAACTTATTGGCTGACACTGTTTTGAGAATACGAACGGATCGAACTTCATTGTTACATAAGAAATATATGGTTTAAACATATTTTTATTCTTGAAAGAATCTGGTTTGGTAAACAAGCAAAGCTTTGCTTTTGTGAATACCTCACCAGTACAAATATAACACAAACAGAACACACAAGAACTAGACAAAAGACAGAATGAAATAGACAAAATTAAAATCTAAATCGGAACATCGTATGTGCATTGAGAATTGTAATTAACAACGCGCTCGCAGTTACGTTTCATTACTTTTTGTTAAGATAATTGTTACTTATTATTTCGTTTAGACCGTTTGATCGAAACGTTTAGTCTTGCAAATGAATTGGTGGAGAGACTCTATAATCTTCTTATTTTCTTTGTTGGTAGTTGGCGGTGTTCCGTATAACACAGTTTGGAGTCTGCGACCACTTACATAAAAGTATGCACTATTTTTGATGACAGTATATAATTTACATGTAAAGAGATAATGAATAACATATTCATTGTGGTATCCACAAGCCCATTCAGCATTAAGTGATATATATCTGTTGATTTTATCCGCATTTAGATCACTGCAGCCGAGCTTGAGACGACTGTGTACAATTTAACAAAGTCATCTACCATAATTCAGGTCAAGATAATTATTGGATTCATAATTTATTAACAGAGTTTTAAATTCGCATATTGTATTAGCATTCGCGACATAGTTCAGGCAACGAGTTCCAAATTTTAATTGTGTCTGGTAGGAATGATTGTTCATATGTTTTTGTCCTACAGTTTATTGTTTGTAACTTGGGATTGTTTCTGAGATTGTATTGACTATTGTCAGAAACAGTTTTAGGTACAAGGCCACACAAGTAGCCTGGGGCGAAATTGTTATTCATTTTGTAAAAGTTTACCAATTTGATGTCACGCCTTCTTTCTTTTAATGGTTTAAAATTAGTTTCAAGATAAAAAATGTCCATGACTAGTTCCACGAACCGCGCCGCATATGGTGCGGAGTGCATCTAAGTGTAACCGTTCAAGGAGAAGTGATTGATCAGTCGTACAGTTATCCCAAACATGACAACAGTAATCAAATATCGGCATCACGAATGACTTGTACATGGTTTCAAGCGTTTTCCTTCCTAGAAAGGCGATATTTGAAACCTCGAAGGCAGTTTATCATGGGACTGACTATGTCAACAATATCTTCAATATGGCTTTTCCATGCACAATCACTCTGAAGAATTATGCCTAGATGTTTATGATTTTGAACTTCTTGTATCGGGGTTTGATGCATGTTTAAAGTCGGAATCCTATCAGTTTTATGCTTGCGAGAAAAATTTACTGTTTCTGTTTTATTAGGGTTAAAGTTAACCTGCCACTTTTCTGCCCAGTTTGAGATTCGGTTTAGATCATCATTGAATCAAGCTGCGGCAACATTGTGATCATCTACAATTACATATATTGAGGTGTCATCCGCAAAGAGACGAATGTGACTTTCTATTCCATCTACTACATCGTTGATGTACACAATTAAAGAGAAGTGGTCCCAAGACGGAACCCTGGGGGACGCCAGCAAATACAGTTTTATGATCAGAGCAATATCCATTAATGACAACTTTTTGTGATCTATTTTCTAGGTAACTTTCAAACCAATTAAAAAGAGATCCATCGATACCATAGCTCTTAAATTTTGATATTATGCCTTTATGCCAAACTTTATCAAAAGCCTTACTGATATCACAAAAACCGGCTCTGACCTCTTTACCATTATCAAGGCCTTTCGCAATAAAATCATACAAGTAGGTTAATTGATTTGCGGTAGAGTCGCCCGGCATAAAACCCGATTGTAAATTGGTAAGGATATCATTATCTCTGAAGTAATTAAAAACATATTTAAATACACATTTTTCAAAAGCTTTAGTCAGACAACTCGTATGCGCGACCGGTCGGTAGTTGGAACATTCATTAACACTATTCTTTTTATGAAGAGGTATGACTGACGCTTCTTTCCAGATGGATGGAAATTTAGATTTTGAAGAGACAAGTTAAATAATGTCGTTAGCAAAGGACATAAACTCTTTGCTGTTGCTCTGAGAAATCGATTCCCTATACCATCTGGCCCTGTTGCTTTTGATGGATCAAGGGAAAGAAGACTGTCTTGAACCTCTTCAAGTGTAAGATTAATAGAACTAAGTGTATCTGCAGTAGATGCAAATTGGATGTCTGGAAGTTGTAAATCCGCATAGTCTACTGTAGCTAGATTTACAAAGAAATTGTTTGAAACGTTAACAATGACTTCGGGGTCGTCGTAGATAACATCATTTGATATGATTGGCGGAATGTAGTTGCATTCCGATTTTCTTTGAACATATTGTTTGACCATACGCCACCAAGTCTTAGTACCTACGGATGTATTTATTCTATCATCTATTCTCAAATCACATTTTCTTTTGGAGTCGCGTATCAAACTGATCACTTTGTTTCTATTTGATCGGAAATTTACCCAGTCGGAAGGACGCTTCAGTGTTTCAATCTTAATGTTGTTTTCATTTAGAATATCTATGTTAAAATCGCCGGTGATAACGGTAAACAGATTTAAATCGATTGCCATTCCAACTGAATGGTCAATCAGATCCCAGTACTGTTCGCTTTTGTCAGCGCGATAAAACGTACCGATGAGATAATTTCTGGTTTTACATTATATTTTTACCCATAACGCTTCTAGACCAGCAATGTCTAATGCTTCCATACTCTCCACACATAAGTGTTGCTTAACATAAATGGCCACGCCGTCGCCTCGTGTTAAACGGTCTTTTCTAAATGGTTTATGAAAACCTGGAATTGGTAAATCGTCTGTATGAACGGTATCATTGAGCCATGTCTCTGTAAGGCAAATTACATCGTAATCTACAAATTCTGCATAAATGATATCGATTTTGTCTTTCAGACTTCGGACATTGAGATGTATTATCTTCAGATTCTTATGGTGTTTCGTTCCCGGGTTTGGATGGATATTACCGCAACAAAGTAAGAGGAGACTAAGAAATATGAAAATTGACGAAGAGTATTTATAATACCGAAATATGGAGCGAAATATTATATCATGAAATTATTTCCGCTTTTTGCATGAAGCGTAACTGCAAAGCATCCAACTGCCTGCCTGTACTGCATTATGTCAACAGACATGATAGATACATGTATTAAAAAAGTTCAAAAGACTGGCAGTGGGAGAACATTGTGTAAGCAAACAATCATCAAACACATATACACATGTAAATTGAGAACTGTGAAAACATTTGTCTGAAGTTGAATAGTAATCACAGAAGGAATTTCAAAATTGGAAGAAAAAGAGAGAAAGATTATTAAGAGCAAAACACTCATTGAGTTTTAAAACAAACAGAAATATGGAGAAAAGCCACGGGTTTAAAATCGAACCATCTTCATTAAGATACATTTGTATATGAAGAGGAGACAGTAGAGGTAGATATAAACAAATCTGTCCCAACAGGTGTAAACAACACTAGGACCCGCCAGTTACTGTGGTGATGCACGAGAGTCATGAGACAAATGCAGCACGTGCATACCGTTCACGTGTTGTACATTTCATATCCCACTGCGGGAGCGGTGGATAGCTGGATACCTCTACTTGTGGTGAGAAAATGCTGTAAGTAATCTTTATTATAACAGATATAGTTATCATTATTATATTTAAGAGAACAAAAAATAGATATGAATTTGAAAGAGATAGACATTATTTATATACACAAATCGAAGAGGAAGACTACCATGACAGGTGTTATTGTTATAGTGTATTACAATAGTAATCCTTATAATTATTTGAATTCTTAATATAACAAGACATTTTGCATGATAGGATTTTGCAATGTATATTGATGATGAACCAAAGGAAACACTCCAATTTGAGAACTTGTATTTACAACAACAATAACAAAACAACAACAACAAAACAAAACCCCAAACAAAAAACAAAACAAAAAGCAAAACAAAAATAGAAGTGAGAACAGGTGAATGGTTAACAGGCAACAATATTTTAGATACATAATACACCATTTGAAATTCCCAATTGAAAACGAATTCACTGTAATGATTGAGAAATTAAGGATAATAATAAATAACGATAATTAAAGAAACTTTAGACTAAGTTAACCCAAAAATGAATAAATCAGACAAATACACTCTAAACATACCATCAAACAAATCAAAACAAACTAATTGCAGCATTAATGCAACAGATTCATTTCGTCTGGGTAGTTGTGGCAAAAATTGCCAAATATCATATTATAATACACACTTTGACTGGCAGTGGGATTAAATTTTGTGAGCAAACAATCATCAAACACACATACACATGTTAATTGAGAACTGTGAGAACATTTGTCTGAAGTTGAATAGTAATCACAGAAAGAGTTTTCAAAATTGGAAGAAAAGAGAGAAATGTTGTTAAAAGCAAGACACTCATTATAAAATCTAACCAACTTCATTAAGATACATTTGTATATGAAGACGAAACAGTAGAGGTAGATATAAACAAATCTGTCCCAACAGGTGTAAACAACACTAGGACCCGCCAGTTACTGTGGTGATGCACGAGATCCATGAGACAAACGCAGCACGTGCATACTGTTCACGTGTTGTACATTTCATATCCCACTGCGGGAGCGGTGGATAGCTGGATACCTCTACTTGTGGTGAGAAAATGCTGTAAGTAATCTTTATTATAACTGATATAGTTATCATTATTATATTTAAGAGAACAAAAAATAGATATGAATTTGAAAGAGATAGACATTATTTCATTATTTATATTTATTTATGTTAGAACCAGTAAATTTCAAATGAGTGATATATTTGATACATATGCCGGAGTGAGGCAAGGT